AAGAAAGGAAAAAAAAAGGGGGGGGTGGGAGTAAAAATCTTGGGAGATGGCTCATTGAACCCTTCTCCAGAATTTCGTTTCTGAATTCAAAGTGAGGGCGACCGTGGTTGTGTGACGCCCCGGGTGGTGAGAGGCGCACATGTCATTGATTATAGGCAACTTTTGAAAAGAACATGGTGTAAGTTGACAGATAACTTTTACAAAAACGTGTCATACAATTTTTATATATAAATTAAAAGACGAGAAAAAAAAAACTCAGTAAAAAAATGTATTTATTATAAAAAAATCTTAAAGCCTGATATTTGGAATACCGGTATCTCTCTCCATTCAAATTTATTGACGACTGTTAAGTTGAAGAACGATCAAAGGGAAATAAACAAACCTTTCCTTACAAATGTTTCACTAAAAGTCACACTTATGCCCCCTTTGTAATCGAAGCAAAGGTTTAATGCACATAATTTCAAAATTGTATTTTAATTATTTTTTTTAAAAATCTTCTAAGGTATATGACTTAATTCAGACAAAATATCTTATTTCCATTTTCAAAAATAATACTAATTAATACACTATGTTTACTCGACTTATCCGGCGTTAAGTGTTAAGTATTGCGTTTTTTTGAAAAATAATGTCAAAGTCAAAGCAAATCAAGAGTCTTTAAAAAGAGTCTTAAAAACTATTTTCACGTGTTGATGAGAATTACTGTAATATAACAGGTGGTCCTGGTGTAGAATATTTAAACGCCATCTTTCTCATCTCTGAAATATTTTCTTTTTCATCCTGAGCGTTGATTCTTGATTCTACTAATTAGTACAGTAAATTATTATTAGTAAATTACTTTCCAAATTTAAGTTCCATGTTTAAATTGTATAATTAAGTATATTTTGAGAAATCATTTTTAATCTAACAAATTTCATATTACATTTGTATATCAATTCTCCAAAATTATACACATTGTTTAATTTTTAATCAATGCCGAATCATGCCGTTGTACTAAACTGTCACTGTAGAATATTTTATGGTAGACTTTACAAAAAAAATTAATTTTGCATACTGCATACTTCTACTTTTATTTTAATTTTTTAAATATAACAACAAATATTTTGATTCACCGAGGCTTTTGTTTACTAATCTAAGTCATTTAATGAATGTATTCCTTGCGAATCTAAAATTGTAAATATTGACATGTTTGGGATTTATTTGTTAACTCTGTTACACGGGGGTTAAACAGTTTTTGGCACACCGCACAAGATGGCCGATTTGTTAGGCTCGATTTTGGGGTCAATGGAAAAGCCCCCATCAGTTGGAACAGATGAACGCAAAAAAGCCAAAGGTTCGAATATTTCGTAATTAGTGTCAGTGGAAAAACGTAATCATAAAATGTAGCCAAATAGTTATATTTCTCTCTCTATTTGTTTTTCTAGTTTATAGAACTAAGTGACTGAAACTTATCTGTGAATGATTGTTTTTTTGAATGGCTTGAATTTGAATGACATAAAATAATGAATGGAATGGAGTGAGTTAAGCCCTTTTAAAAATTGCAGCTTCTCAGAGCTAACTTTGTTATTGTGGTAATGTGCACAGTGGTAAACTGAGACAATCCGCCATATTTGTTACCATGACCCGTGCAGTGAAAGGTCACGCCTTAAAACCTATCCCTATTTCCTTAAATTCAAAAAAAAAAACACGAACCCTAAACCTAACCTGAACCTTATCCTGAACCTATTTTATCAAGTTTAATGGTTAAATCTGAGGACGAATGCCACTGGGTCTTTTGGGTGTTCAGGGTTTAGGTTAGGTTGAGGGATTGATTTAGGGTTCAGGTTAGGCCACTTAGGCATAGGAATAGGGATCGATTTAGGGTTCAGGTTAGGCATAGGGATCGATTTAGGGATACATTCGTGAAAGAATTAACTGTTTGTGTCAACCAAGATGGCGTCGTCGATAAAATAGTGGCATTCGTCCTCGTAATTTACCCGTTTAATAAACATGTAAATGACACCATGGCGCTAATTGTCTGCTTTTGTCACAACAATTAAAACTTCCTGTTTCCAACCTCGTGCACACAACACACTGTTGTCACCAAGTTAAAACTAAATATATCGTCATCGAAATATCTGATTAAGATCTGAAATGGCTCTTTGCAGTACCGACACTGGTTTTAACAAAACAATAAAATGAAGCTGAGACTGTGCATCTCCCCCACCCATTACGGGCAAAAGTTGCGTTCTCCTCTGTCTTCATCTTTAATATTCTCGTATAAACAATATCTGAGCAATAGCCTGTAATAGCCTATAGCCAACATTAAAGTTGCTACGCCACTCACTAAGTTTTGTTCATTTGCAGTAAATCGGTAAATGTGCAGTTTACAGCATGAGTTTTGCCTAGCGCTGTCTTACTCTAAGCATATTGTCACTTTGTGGAATCCCAACGCTGGACTTGGGGTGATTGGAGCTTAACCAATGAGAATAATACATTTTCTGTTCTTCACTGAGCATTATTCACGTCAGAAGCATAATCTGATGAGTAAAAATGAAATTTAAATGAAATAAATTCAACTGAAATTTTTCTTGTTTTTATTAAATTGAACTACAAGGTTCAAAAGAAATAAAAAGAGAAACTCATCCTCAAGATCCACACAAGAAAAAAGATGCCCGCATGGTTGAAAGTGCTGTCTTTTGATCATTGAAAACAAAGTACCTGTATTCTATTCATTACTATAATGTCGCAATTTAACAGGAAATTTCAACATAATTTCCGGGGGTGGAGAGACCTCTCCCCTAATTCCAATAAAAAAATAACAAAAAAATTTCTGGGGAGTGGAGACCCCTCCTCATAACCCCTTTCCCATCTTTCAAGACAAAAAACTACAAATGAGAAATAAAAAAAACATCAAATTAATACAGACCTAAATTTTGAAATATTTCGAAAAAACATAACTATGGCAGGTTGTTCGCCCGGGGAACCTCCATGACCTATATACTGATGAAGACATTGCAGACCCTGACGTTAACTGCATTTTTGCCGTAAAATCATAATGATATATTCGCATGTAATAAAAATATGTAAAACAATAAGGTAAACATAAATGAAACAAAGTGAATAATGAATGTACATTGGTTGTTATTTTAACCAAATACCCTTGCTTTAGTAGGATATTCACTGGATTCTGTCTCTGTAATGATGATCCCATTAAGATTACTTTGCTGAAAAAATTCACATTTTTGTTTCGACAAAAGCATAAATTAATAAGGAGTGAAGAAAGACATTTTTTTATTGGTAATAATATAAATGCAGTATTATGTAAAACTAGAATCAACAAAGTTTGCTTCACAAAATGAGATAGGTGGTTCAGTCCATACCACTCTTACATTCATATTGATCATTAATCATAGTAATATGAATAATATACCGTAAAAATGGACAAACTCACAATTTTCATATAGTTTTTTGAATTCATATATGAACAATTAATAAAGCTAGTTAACGTTGTTTTTTTTTCTCCATCAAACAGTATCATTTTTATAATTAATGTATTTTGTTGTCGTTAAGCCAACATTCAATGATTCATCCCTAGATTGTGTGGATGGAAGCATTGCAGTCTTTCACCTATATAGCAAATTATGCCTCAGACGTTTTACATACTACCGATTGCCTAACATACACTGAGCGCATCTCATCGCGCCCTACCCATCGCCAGCTTTTATAACATCAAATAAAAGAAAAGCTTAAAAAGGAAAATAATGTTTGATTATATTGTGCATATTCATTTTCAGCACATAAATAAATACATATTTAAACAAATACAACATTTTACAATTATAGCAATTTAAACACAAGATTTCCAAAGTATTTCTCTAGCTTAGATTCAGCCTTAAATGAACTCCTTTATTGACAATGATGATTAATTAGAGATACATCATTTTAAAAGAATAGCTACAGACTTTAAAAAAAAAAACAGCTTGAATATCAAGGGTCAAAAGGTAATATTGGTGTCTTTGTAAAACCAAAAGCCATCTTTTTCCAATGGTGTGCTATTTGTGAAGGCCAGAAAATTTGAGGTGGAGTGCCAAGGCATAATATTTATTAATAATTAGCTTAGGAAATTATTTTCAAATGTAATTGTCTAAAATAAAATTTGGTCTAAATAATGGGCCCAGTAAATTGTTTTAGTTAAATCACCCAAAAAGGACACTATACATAAATAACCTGACACTATTAGTTACACCACTCTCCCCCCCCCCCCCCCCCCTCTAAAATAAAATTGTGTCTAAATAATGGGCCCAGTAAAATGTTTTAGTTAAATCACCCAAAAAGGACACTATACATAAATAACCTGACACTATTAGTTACCCCCCTCTCCCCCCCCCCCTCCCCAACCACACACACAACTGTCACAAAAGTAGCGGTTATTGAAAGGGAGGTCACTTTAAATATTTGGTTTGCTATTACCAACAAAAAAGACAATGCCAGTTTTGGCTTAATTTTTTTTTCATTATTCTGAAATTCTCACGTCTGGTTGACTTTAATATAATGATTAAATTATCAGACTTACTTAGAATTTTAAAACTTAGTGACCCTTTGCTATTTATAATCATTATATTTCCTGGCATTTTGCAGTGTATGCGGACCTCCACAAACTGAGGTGTGGGTGGGTAAGCCACATGCAGACAATGGGGGAAGGGGGTTGGTAAACCATGTGCAAAGGGGGAATGAGTTGGGTAAGCCACATGGAGATTTAGGGGAGGAGATGAGTAAGCCACATACATTTAAGGGGAACAAGGGAGATGGAAAAGATGCATATTGTTTATGAATAACCTCTTACTAAATCCTAAAAGCCTCGTCTTTAGCCTTTTCTTTTTACTCTCAGCTCAGAAGGTGTTGATTGAGAAACAGCAGGAAGCAGAGAAGAAACTGCTTGACAGCTTCCGACAAAAGGTTATTGTTAAATTATCATAGTTGTACTGATTGTGGTAAAATCTTCACTTTATTTGAGCTGAAGAGAGTTTTCTAACCTATTTGATGGTAAAAATGCTTTCAATTTATTGTTTCTTTGATAATTTAGCCGTTACCTTTACTCTTATGACTTTATTAAAATGATTACCCATTGCAATCAATTAATTGATATTTTCGTAATCTGAATTTTTAGATTCAAAAGAGAATCCATGAATTCATTAAAGATGGAAATCTGGAGAAATTGAAGATTGAACCAATGGAGAAAGTTCAACGTGCCATTGTGTAAGTTGTGTATGACTGAAGTATTTTGAGACATTCAATTACTTAACCCATTTATGCCTAGTGTTCCATTATTAAATTGGTACACATGTTGAGGTCTGATGTTTCACACAAGCCATCTTCCCAGGGTCTATATTTTCACTAAGTACACAGATTTTGTCACCCTGATGCAGATATTATGTACTGGATGGTCCTCAAAAATTGAGGACATTTTATTTTCACATTTTTTTAGGAGCATCCACATATAAATAGATATGATTTTTCTGTCCATTCTATAATGGTATTTTTTTAAATAGAGCTATTGACTAGTCATATTATGTTATTACCCGGTACACTGTAAAAAGGAAAATACCAAAGTTATTATTGTTGTACTATTAGAGGGCTTGAAATGTTAGATGTTCCATATTTTGGAACTCTAGGCAAATCCCTTACCAATAGGACTATCAGTATAGACCAATGGTTCTCAACCTTCCTAATGCCGCGAAACTTTAATACAGTTCCTCATGTTGTGGATACCCCCAACCAATGTTCCCTTTAAGCTGCGCGCTATCTCACAGACGCTGGGCAGCAGTTTTGAGTACTGCGCAGCAAATTTCCATGTAATTGTGTGTTTGAGGGCTGTAACATTTTACACACAAAAAAAATTGATACTTTAAAACTTTGCACACAACTGTATGATTTTGCACACGAACCAACAAACCTTAGAGGGAACATTGCCCCCAACCATGAAATTATATGTTTTCCAATGTCTTAGATGACCCCTGTATTTATTTGTCTTCTCCTAGGCATGATGTTGCAGAGCTGGCCGGCCTCGCCTCATTTTCCTTTGGACTTGAAGAAGAAGACAGATATGTGATGTTATGGAAAAAGGTGCGTAACTGTTGTATTTGATTGTTGCAGTTTACTATACATTGCAATTCGCTTATAGTTTTTGCAATGCACTTTGGGTATGATGAATAATATTAATAGATTGAATCACTCAAAATTTTCTATTCGGCAAAATTATTATCTTAAACCATCAGGTAACCAAAACACTAATTTGGGCAGAAAACCTCCTTTTTTTTTTTTTTTTTTTTTTTTTTTTTTTTTGAGGCCCCCCATTCATTTTTTTTTTTTTTTTTTTTTTTTTTTCATATTTGAGGGCCCACGATCAATTTATTGATCATTTTGGCTCCTGACTTGAATTCAGAGTCAGCCTTCTCTTAGATGAGTTGCCTTCCAAGGCTAACGAGGTGCTTGACTGGGGTTTGGCTGGAATTTAACTCCAGACCATTATCTTGAGATTTGCTCAGTTCAGACCACTCGGCCACCCAGCACCCTAGATTTATTAAATAGGAATCTTAGTTCCCTCACCTCATGCAAGAATTACTGGACATTTTTTATGTGCTTTCTAAGTTTTTAAAAAAATGTCCATGCCATTTAATTTTATTTCTTTTAAAAATATTTTTGCTCAGGAATTTGCCCCGACAGATGAAGAGTTACAAGCTTACAGGAGAGGGGAAGAGTGGGACCCTGAGAAAGCTAAAGAGCTCTTGAAACAGAAGGTAGTTAATAAACTGAAGTATTTATAGCCATTCTAGTTATATTCTCAGTTGGCTTTAATGTTAACTCTTCAACCTGCCCAAGTAATCAGCTTGTCACCATTAGCTTACTTTGACTATTTTCAGTAAAGAGCCATGACATATAAATCATGGATTTGTTGAGTACTTCCCCCTAGATGTAACGAAGCTATTGAACTGCTTATCCCCTTTAGCAGTTCGTAACAACTTCTGAAGAAAGCAAACAGCTTTGCCTAGGCTTAAAAAATTGGTGTCTTGCCATTTATGACTAGTCTTCACAGTCAAGTTATAGCTGTAGGAATAAATATGCCAGAGTGCTTTTCTTAGACTTGTCATCAGCATTTAACACTATCCAACCACACCTTATGATAAAGAAACTTTCCTCGTTAGTTGTCAATTTAAATATTCAGGCTTGGATACTGAACTTTTTAACAAATCGACCACAATATATCAAAGTAAATAACCAAGTATCTCTAACCAGAGAAATAAGCACCGGGGCACCACAAGGCTGCGTTCTCTCTCCTGTACTGTATACCATATATACAAATGATATTCAAAGCTCAAGCGACACCGTTCCAATCTTAAAATTTGCTGATGATACCACCATTGTTGGTTTAATGTCTGGAGGAGAAGGCATATACCGCAACTTAGTTATGAGCTTTATCAATTGGTGCGATGAAAATTTTCTCCAGTTGAATGTCTCAAAAACTAAAGAAATGGTTGTTGATTTCAGGAGGGGGAAACACCAGATTACAGATCTCAACATAAAAAATCAAAATGTGGAGAAAGTGGAGGCATGCAAGTACTTAGCTGTCACCATTAATAATAAGCTAACATGCCATGAGCACGGCCAAATACTGTATAAGAAACTCAACCAAAGACTGTTCTACCTCAAAAAACTGTACAATTTCAGTGTAAACAAGCAAGTCGTTAACTTATTCTACAGTGCAACTATTGGAAGCAAACTTAATTTCAATATTACCTGCTGGTGTGGGAATTCAACGTCTGATATTAAACACCGCATAAACCGACTAATGAAGAAAGCTAGGAACATAACACAAACTAAGCGTCCTTTACTTGAAGAACTATTTGAAGAAAGATGTTTTTGCAAAACTAAACACATTTTGGATGATACATCCCACCCTCTTCATCACAGATACTTAGGATCGGGCCGTTCGGGACGAATTCTTTCCATCAGGGCGAGGACTGACAGATATAAAAATTCTTTTGTTACCCAATCTGTACGAATTTACCGGCATGCCTCCTCTGAAGTCACACATCTGAATGAGATCAAATAAGTCTCCGATTTTGCTAAGAGAACTCACTGAATGGCTGTTTGAAATAATATATTATAAATGTCTTGTGTTCAAATAGTTTTATTTTTTAGCTGAAAATGTATAATGCAATAAAAAATATTTCATTTATTTGGATCAATAAAAGAATCTTATCTTATCTTAAATATGTAACATTTTTTAATTATTTACTAAAACATAGGTAGAATCAATGGATTTCTTTATTAAGCGGGTCACCATGAGGAGTATATTATAATTATTTAAGTAATTATAAAAGTAGCTGTTCCTAAGAAACACTTTAAAAAGGATACAGGGTCTTGCATCATCGATGAACACATACAAATTGGGTTGTACTACAAACAAGTAACTCAAATTTCGTTTTTAATTGATGAGGTTTACTTGTCATGTACTTGGATGACAAACTGACTGGTGTAGATGAGAGATTATATTAGTGCAGTTATAATCCAGATTTCTTGTGTAAAGTTGCCTCCTAAACCAGTAAATCATTTCCTGGCATCCTGATTCATCACCTCCAAATCGAACTCGGAAGTCTCATCCCCATTGTTATCTCTTGGCTCTGAAAGCAAATTTGATGGGGTTTTTTTGTTGAATATTTTCTCAAAATTTTCATTAAAAATAAAAAAAAGCTTGATGCCAGTTTATTTAGTTTAATTAAACTTTTTGTGATGAATTCTCTGAATAAAAGGAACTGATGAATGTGACTTGTATAACCTAGATAAAGTTGCTGGTTCTGAAGTGCTCTATGGCCTGTTCTGTTTCAGGAATTGGAGGAAGCTCTAGAGAAAGGCAGGCCATCAGATCCCACCAAGGACATCCCAGCATCCAACTACAGAGATAAATACAAGCATCTGATAGGCGACGAGGCAGCCAAAGAAGCTGCCCGAGGTCTTGTCTCCAACACATCCTATGGTTTTGGTGAGTTAAGTAAATTCACAGGTGGACTCTGACTGGCACACAAATAAATTATTAGGTTCAATAGATGTGATGAGCTGAGGGGGGGGGGGGGGGGGGGGGGACGACGAGGACAACCCCCTGAATAATTAATTAAAATGAAAAGTTAGTAATAATTCAGCCAAAAGTAAAAAGAAAATAAAAAGTTTATTAAAGTTAAATTTTGAAGGTGGCCATCCACATATTACAGACACCAAAAAAATTTTCACTAATGTGCACAACACCCTTCCCTCCCCTCTTTCTCTTACTTCCTCTCTCTCTCTCTTCCCTGTATTATTTAAACATTATCTGATTCCAATTGAACTTGTAGCTTCCTCTGGATAGTTTTCCTGGAGGCATTAAAAGTCTGGAATTGTTACCAAGCTGAGACAACCACCAGGCAGCAGATATAGTTTTAAACTTACTAGCCAATAGACCCGGTGTAACCCAAGAGTACATTATAGTTATAAAGTTACTAGACAATATACCACAGATAACCTGGGAGTACATTATAGTAATAAACTAATTAGCAATATACCCGGCATAACCTGGGAGTACATTATAGTAATAAACTAATTAGCAATATACCCGGCATAACCTGGGAGTACATTATAGTAATAAACTAATTAGCAATAAACCCGGCATAACCTGGGAGTACATTATAGTAATAAATTAATTAGCAATATACCCGGCATAACCTGGGAGTACATTTTAGTTATAAACTTACTAGCCAAATACTCAGTGTAACCCGGGAGTAAATTTGGAAAAAAAACTTAGCCATTTAGCTAAAATCGAAATTATTGGCCCTGTAAAAAGTACTTTGCTAAAGAAAAAGAAAATAAATTTATAATTTTTCTTATTTATAATATTTTTTGTCAACATTTCGTTCCCCGATGTGATTCTCTTCCATGATGTGATCCCATTCCCCAATGGAATCCCAATTCCATTTTGTATAATTTAAATAGAAATCAATAAATTGAGTCAATATATTAACAATCTCTTACAACTTAATGCAGACCTGCTAACCCTCCGACTTTGTCTGAATTATATGGATTTTTTAACCCTCATTCCGACCTTCCAACAAACCCCTTAAATTTCAGATTTTCCAAACGTTATAAATTTTTCACCCGTCATAAAAATCCGAAAGCGACAATAAAAAAAAAATTTGGGTACGACAGGAAGTGGTGCATTTTGTTGATGCCACTTTCTTTGTCCGGCGACCAGACGAACAAGTTCTTGAGATATTCGTCCAGCTATTATATATATATATATATATATACTGCCATAACAAAGTTGCCCGAGATATTTGTCCGTGAGCATTGTCACTTGATCTCTGCTAGTCCATCAGAGTTTACGGTACTTCATTTCAACAAATTCAAGTTAGTCTGGACATTTACTTGAAAAAGAAATATTTTCAATTCTACAAAAGGAATTCTAGAACCTTTGCTGGTATACATAACGATCGATTGGTTAAAAGTGACCATGTCAAAATAAAGCATGACATATCCAACGTATGAATATCTCCCGCACTATTTGTCCTGTCCGGTCACCGGACTTGTAGACACTGCCTTGTTTTTATCAAAGCGAACCGGGATCTCCAAATCATTCTTCAATCATCAAATTATCCGATCAGCATTCATCCTTTTACTAGGCTCAAAAATAATTCAGTTGTGTTGTGACCTTTTTTTTTGTTAAAGCTTTTCTCAATTAAATGGATAAATCTATTGAAAGTGGTGGGATCAGTGATATTAATAAACATTTTTAACATACAAAAAAAACAATATGCGACTGCAGCTAAGCAGGTGAATTTACGACATCCAAATCCAAGTCTAATTTCTTTGCCAAGGAATCAAGCGATTCAGTTATCACATGGGAAGTTTTTTTTACCACCTTTTTTATTGAAGGCAATATTTCTCTAGCCAACTCGGATCGTTTTAATGGCAGAGTCAAAGAAATGTTTCCAGACTGGCAGATTGCTAGAAGATAGGGAAGAAAAGTTGCAATGAAACAAGGGCAAGCCTGAAAGTTGATATGTTTTCTAACTTGCAGTTGCAATGCTAACCTTCAGTTGTCCAAAGAGATGTTGGGCAAGTTCAAAAAGGCCACTAGGGATATGCTGGAAAACTCAATTTAAAACTGAACTCTTAGCAGCATGTAAATAAAATGGATATTAAGTTCTGTATAGATCTGTATACAAACATTTCCAGTCATGTGTTTCTCATGTTCTGTGCTTGTTCTGTGGACTCTTTGAAGATAGTGGAGGGAACTTTTTATTTCTTTATATACCAAAAAAAAAAAGCTTGTACATTAGTATGTAGATAATAAACCTCACACCCTCAGATTTGTTTTCTTGGCAGGTTGGCAGGTCTGTTAATGATCTCTTACACTTTAGCCATCCCTGTCTCTTACAATTTAACCATCTTTGTCTCTTACAATTTAACCATCCCCGTCTCTTACAATTTAACCATCTTTGTCTCTTACAATTTAACCATCTTTGTCTATTACAATTTAACCATCCCTGTCTATTACAATTTAACCATCTTTGTCTCTTACAATTTAACCATCTTTGTCTATTACAATTTAACCATCCCTGTCTATTACAATTTAACCATCTTTGTCTCTTACAATTTACCCATCTTTGTCTCTTACAATTTAACCATCCCTGTCTCTTACAATTAACCATCCCCGTCTCTTACAATTTAACCATCCCTGTCTCTTACAATTTAACCATCCCTGTCTATTACAATTTAACCATCTTTGTCTCTTACAATTTAACCATCTTTGTCTCTTACAATTTAACCATCCCTGTCTCTTACAATTTAACCATCCCTGTCTCTTACAATTTAACCATCCCTGTCTATTACAATTTAACCATCTTTGTCTCTTACAATTTAACCATCCCTGTCTATTACAATTTAACCATCCCCGTCTCTTACAATTTAACCATCCCCCTCTCTTACAATTTAACCATCCCTGTCTATTACAATTTAACCATCCCCGTCTCTTACAATTAACCATCCCTGTCTCTTACAATTTAACCATCCCTGTCTATTACAATTTAACCATCCCCGTCTCTTACAATTTAACCATCCCCGTCTCTTACAATTTAACCATCCCTGTCTCTTACAATTTAACCATCCCTGTCTCTTACAATTTAACCATCTTTGTCTCTTACAATTTAACCATCCCTGTCTCTTACAATTTAACCATCCCTGTCTCTTACAATTTAACCATCCCTGTCTCTTACAATTTAACCATCCCTGTCTCTTACAATTAACCATCCCTGTCTCTTACAATTTAACCATCCCTGTCTCTTACAATTTAACCATCCCTGTCTCTTACAATTTAACCATCCCTGTCTCTTACAATTAACCATCCCTGTCTCTTACAATTAACCATCCCTGTCTCTTACAATTTAACTATCCCTGTCTCTTACAATTTAACCATCCCTGTCTCTTACAATTTAACCATCCCCGTCTCTTACAATTTAACCATCCCTGTCTCTTACAATTTAACCATCTTTGTCTCTTACAATTTAACCATCCCTGTCTCTTACAATTTAACCATCTTTGTCTCTTACAATTTAACCATCCCTGTCTCTTACAATTTAACCATCCCTGTCTCTTACAATTTAACCATCTTTGTCTCTTACAATTTAACCATCCCTGTCTCTTACAATTAACCATCTTTGTCTCTTACAATTTAACCATCCCTGTCTCTTACAATTTAACCATCTTTGTCTCTTACAATTTAACCATCCCTGTCTCTTACAATTAACCATCTTTGTCTCTTACAATTTAACCATCTTTGTCTCTTACAATTTAACCATCCCTGTCTCTTACAATTTAACCATCCCTGTCTCTTACAATTTAACCATCCCTGTCTCTTGCAATTTAACCATCTTTGTCTCTTACAATTTAACCATCTTTGTCTCTTACAATTTAACCATCCCTGTCTCTTACAATTTAACCATCCCTGTCTATTACAATTAACCATCCCTGTCTCTTACAATTTAACCATCTTTGTCTCTTACAATTTAACCATCTTTGTCTCTTACAATTAACATCCCTGTCTCTTACAATTTAACCATCCCTGTCTCTTACAATTAACCATCCCTGTCTCTTACAATTTAACCATCTTTGTCTCTTACAATTTAACCATCCCTGTCTCTTACAATTTAACCATCTTTGTCTCTTACAATTTAACCATCCCTGTCTCTTACAATTTAACCATCCCTGTCTCTTACAATTTAACCATCCCTGTCACTTACAATTTAACCATCCCTGTCTCTTACAATTTAACCATCCCTGTCTCTTACAATTTAACCATCCCTGTCTCTTACAATTTAACCATCCCCGTCTCTTACAATTAACCATCCCTGTCTCTTACAATTAACCAGCCCTGTCTCTTACAATTAACCATCCCTGTCTCTTACAATTTAACCATCCCTGTCTCTTACAATTTAACCATCCCTGTCTCTTACAATTTAACTATCCCTGTCTCTTACAATTATCCATCCCTGTCTATTACAATTTAACCATCCCTGTCTCTTACAATTTAACCATCCCTGTCTCTTACAATTTAACCATCTTTGTCTCTTACAATTGAATGGTCATTTATGACACTTGGTGTTGACAGTGCCCAGTAAAAACAAGCAAGACTCCAGGACCATTGAGCAAGTTTTGGCTGACACCCGGGCCAAGAAGAGAAGGAAGATGGAGGAAATCTCTCCTGAATCTTCCACCCCCTCCCCTGGCGACCATGTGACCTCCTCTTCCACACAACCCTACCCCTCTGCTGACACCTCACAGCATTCATCTTCTGATTCGGCCTGATGACTTTGATGGATGTGCTGTGCTCTTTCAGGGATGTTCAAACATAGCCATCAGGGCCACGGTCGATGTCTTGTGGTCAGTGCGGCTGATTGTCTATGTTGATCTATTCACTATGATCTACGTATTGCTATAGAACAAGCTGCCTTATCCTAGTCCACAACAAAAAGAGTTGTGGTTTAGCTGTTTTTGTCAACTTGGACTAATTCATCTTGTTGTAATGCATTCATAAAGTCAGGGGTTAGGTGAGGTGTATCTCTTCACTAAAGATGAGGTGGGTTTCTAAAAATAAAGGTGAGGTGTGTCTCTTCACTAAAGTTGAGGTGTGTCTCTCACTAAAGATGAGGTGTGTCTCTTCACTAAAGATGAGGTAGGTCTCTAAAAATAAAGGTGAAGTGTGTCTCTTCACTAAAGGTGAGGTGTGTCTCTTCACTAAAGATGAGATGGATCTCTTAAAATAAAGGTGAAGTGTGTCTCTTCACTAAAGGTGAGGTGTCTCTCTTCACTAAAGGTGAGGTGTGTCTCTTCACTAAAGGTGAGGTGTGTCTCTTCACTAAAGGTGAGGTGTGTCTCTTCACTAAAGGTGAGGTGTTTCTCATCAATAAAGGGCAGGTGCTTCTCTAAAATTTTGTGGGCTGTGTCTTTGCCTGTGGTAGAGGTGTGTCTCTTCACTATAGGTGATGGGTCTCTTTACTGGTGATAAATATCAAACGCCCACAGGGGAGATGATACAAAGATTTAGCCTTTAGTGGAGGGGCTCAGTTGACTAACTAGGAACCCCTGTGTAAAGAAACCTTTTTGCCCCCAATTGTAAATATTGATACAGGTCCTTGATATCAATCTATTTATAATTCAGAGGAAACCCTCAAGAGTTTTGATTGAGATTCCAATGTAGTTATGAGTGTTTGTTGCTGTGAGATGCCCGAATGTCAAGTTCATGAGTGTTGATTCACTGTGTGATTTATTCAGCGTGACCCACCTGTGTACATGAACCTTCTCAAACATGTTCCAGTGGACATGACCTTGACCTAAATCCACCTTTTTTAAAATTTTATACAACACATATTGATGTCTGTTTCTTTTAAGTTTTCAAGTTGATAAATAGTTTGATCTATCATGTCATTATCATCTCTACTGTAACCACCAGCAGCATTTGACTGTAATATTTAGCTGTACCAGTAATAAAATTAAGAATTAATCCTTTAATTCCCAGAGATGTGTTATAGTTATGAGTGAACACTAGACTCAGAAACTTGGCAGTGTTTGTTAATCTTGCAAGGTGGAGTGTATGTAAGACAGTGGCAGGGTGTGTTTGTATCAAGCTGGGCTCAGTGTTTGCTTCTGGTACCTGTACATTACATTTACATGTTTGCTTTGTTGAGCGTCTTACCAGGCTTCTAATGTTTTGAATGCAGAATGTGAATAAAGAAAAAGATACAATTTTTATATTGTGTTTATTATATTTTTAAATTTTCATCAAATCAATTTCATGAAAGGCTTCCCCAGTAAGATGGAGAGGGGGGGGGGTGTGTTTACAAGGGTAGTAACCACTAATGAAAGGTAGGTAACCAGTATTCAGTATGGAAACAAGAGAAGTCGCCATAAGGGAAAGTGACAGGGGGAAGACTTAGGCTACCACTAGTACCTAGAACAGTTGGTCAGTCGAACTCGTCCATGACCATCTTAATCATTGTACTTGAGCTAGATCTAATGCAACAGCATCGTATAGACACCACAAAGCAATTCTAACACCAAAATACATACTGAAAATTGTTATAGAATAAAATTAACACTAACATTTTGCGTTGATTGAATATTTCCTTATCTTACTACATACAAAAAGAAAAAAATAACAAGTTTCCTAGCAAAAGTCTGTAAATCATTTATGGGTATTTAAAACTGTTCATTTTAAAAAATAAATTGTAAGTGTATGATATTATGATATATTAATGTTTAGCCGATATGAGACACTTATCAGAGTATTTCTAAATGTATTAATGTGCCAATTAGCTGAAGGAAGGTGAATCAGTGTAAGTCCCCGAAAGTTCCTTAGATGGAATTGTTTCTTTGTAATCTGAAATGACCTGAACTTTGATACATTACAAATCAATTAACATTTGACAACTTTTGTCACACTCTTTGATCTCCTTTAACTTTAAACCCACATATTAAATTGACAATTTAATACTAAGAACATGTTTCTTAAACTGCTAAAGCGAAAAATAAATCAGTGTGATTGAGTTGAAAGAAGTGATGCCGCTCCAAAAGAGAAGAAACCTATAAATCATCCGGTGTATTACTTACAATATACCAGTAACTGCGGTGTAAAAATTGCGGTAAATTATATGAAGGAGAGACAGGTCGTCGTCTTGGTGACCGTTTTAGAGAATACCCTTGTAACATAAATAAACAAGTCTAGTTTCCAAATATTTCAATAATACTAATTGTTTATATTTGATGAATCTACTTAGTAGCTGTAGCGTAGTCACAGTGAAGTGACAAGAAACTATTAGTAGCTGCAGCATAGTAGCAGTGACAATAAACTATTTGTAGCTGCAGTATAGTCACAGTGAAGTGACAAGAAACTATTAGTAGCTGCAGCATAGTAGCAGTGACAAGAAACTATTTGTAGCTACAGTATAGTCACAGTGACGTGACAAGACACTATTAGTCGCTGCAGTATAGTAACAGTGACAAGAAACTGTGTAGCTGCAGTATAGTCACAGTGACTTACGTTACAAGAAACTATTAGTAGCTGTAGCGTAGTCACGGTGAAGTGACAAGAAACTAGACAGATAACTGCACAGACACAATAATACCGTATTTAATTGACAGCTGGTAGAAAATAGATACAAATACATAGTTACAATCTTCCCAAACGACCCCTAACAAATTATCAGGCGACAGCCGAGGAGGTCGCGACCAACAGGGGGAGAACCGCAGTTCTAAATGCGTGCCAAAATATTGGAAGAATGTAAATGGAATTACATAAACGATTGAGCATTTTCTGGATTTACCATACGGTGGAAAACAACAGATTTTGGCATATGCAATGGGTGTCTTCTTTTTAAATCCTTTTTGTTGACTTCGTTTTTGTTCGGAGTTGGCCGGCCAGGGTGGCAAAATCTTCGGACGGCTTAAAGACCCACTTCCTGTCACGCTATCGAGCTGAAACTTGGCACATAGACTCGCTGCCCGATGGCAACACATTCTTTCAAACATTTCTTTTACACTGAGCACCCCCAGAACCAGCCCACTTCCAATTGTAATATTTCCGGAGCTGGGTGGCACGAGCTGAGCAAACTTTCGCCTGGAGCGGAGCAAGAAAGACTTGCTCAAAATCCCTGATAGATACACAGAGCGCAGTGGCGAGCCAGTTAAACGATCTTATCATCTGACATGTCAATCATTGTATCCCCATGCCATGATAGCGAATTAATTTAGACGACACGTCAGGAAAAAAAAATGACATTGTCAAAAAATTGTCAGGGAAATATGGAGTTCAAGCCGTTTTTCTGGATCTTAACATTTCCACACAAGTTGAATGTGTGGAGAAATCAGTTAACACTTCCACACAAGTTGAAAGTGTGGAGAAATCAGTTAACACTTCCACACAAGTTGAATGTGTGGAGAAATCAGTTAACACTTCCACACAAGTTGAATGTGTGGAGAAATCAGGAAACGAGTAGCATATAAAATGGAAACATAAGTCATAGGGTAAGGGAGCATCTGAACGTGATGAGACATATGACAGACATATGACGAAGGTGTCGACCAAAAGTCTTAGTTTATATCTAACAATAAAAGCGCAAATCGACAATGAAAATGACGAAATAGAGGTAAAACGCGCGCAAGACTTTCACAGCGACACAAGTGTAGCGAGTTTCACAGCGACACATGTAAAGCGACATTCACACAGACACAAAGAAATTAATTTACCACTTCGCGGTGCCCCTGTGAAAAACCCGAGGAGCACAGTTTGGGAACCTCTGTTCTAGAATATTTGCGTGTTTCGTTTTTATTTTTATTTTGGGTCTATTTTTTTTTTTAAATCTATTTCCCAAACTTAATGACTTTTTTTTTAAAGCGAAGAGCCTAGAGAGTATGCAGTTATAAATAATTCTCCCCCATCATTTCTGTTTTGCGTATGCAAGTTTTCTCTCACAGATATAATTCGGTATTTTTTTCCGTTCGCCAGCGATTTATTATCTGCCCACGACCGTCTCGCCTGTCTGTTGTCACTCCAATTTTTCTCTGTGTTTCAGACCACGGGTCGGAAAACTGAGATCTGCGAGTTGAATCCGGCCCGTGACTGCTGTTTATCGTGGAGTCAATGGTGGTTTTATGGCATTATACTTTAAGAAATATAGTGATTAGCATACATTTTAATGTAATCGATTCCAGGTTCTCATACAAATACTTGAGCTACAAAAGGAAAACTTAAAAAAAAAAAATTGATATATATAATTTAAATCAGTGGCGTACATGGGGTTGGTGTCACCTGGTGGGGTAAATCATGGTGTCCACACACCCCACCCCAACTTCAACGGTGGCTTTCTTCTTGTTAAAATAAGTCCAAAGTCTGACAATGATACGATCAAAAACACATTAATGAAAGGTTAAGAGGTCAATGTATTTAAGAACTGTAACAACGTTAAGTTATCGTTATTTTTACATTGCATTTTCTTTATTTAAAATTTTCATTTCCTGTGCTTCAAAGCTGCAAACCTGTCAGTGACTTTATCAAAACCAACATCCTTCACCGAGTCACTTTTAATTGATAGTAGAGCCAGGCCAAAAAGCCTTGACTGTTCCATGCTAGATAGTTATGGATAAGCCTTAGTTTTGAAAAGCTCCGCTCTCCTGAAGCCTCATACACAGATTGTAAAAAAAAACATTTGCAGGTTTAGCGAGAGTATTGGAAGAGATTCCAGGAACTCCTTTTCAGCTAAGAATTTCAAAAATCAAATACTGACCAGTCCAAAGTTTTGTTAAATTCAATATCAGCTGCCTTTAGATGTCTTCTAATCCTTGGTACTTACGTTAAAATTAAAAGTTCATCTTCTGATAACTCCTCATAGAAAGAGTTTAATTTTGGAACGGACACCAATAACTCTTCTTCACTTAATCACTTAAGAGTAGACTCTTGGGTTTAACAGCCTCAACCATATCTGGTACTTCCTCGATCATTGACGATCTGATCTAGGGTTCAGAATGAAAGATATCATTAGACACCAGCATCTCCCTACTGTTTTTTTCCCCTCGCAAAGAGAGTCCAGCATCTATTAATTGCTCCCTGCTACTGTCTTCTTAAACCTTAATCTTCTCACTACCAAAATTCCATATTGTTCTGATTTTAAAAGTGCATTTTCAAGGGTATGTTCCATGTCATGTAAGATTAACTTACCCAAGGGGATGATTTTGAAATCACAGACATGTAAAAGACCTTGCGCTGTCTTACCATTGTGCTCAAATGTCAAGAGGCTGTGGTCGTGAAGAAAAGGGTAAAAAATATTAATTTTTGAGTATTTCTGTGTTTCGATAGATTTGGTTTCAAATTTAAAAAAATAAATATAAATTTAAATAAATTTATATTAATTATTAAAGGATAGACCTATTAGAAAAGTATGTGCTACATCATTTTGTTAACCTTAAAAATGGATAAAAAGTCATGTTTTTACAATTTTAATTTGCAATGATTCGATTCGTGTAACAAGAATCGCCCAACCACATCAAACTTGAACATTTAATAAAGCACGCCGTTTAGGACTTGAATGTATCTTGTGATTGCGTGTTGTTTAGAGATTATGTGTGTTGTTTTATCAAATATGCTTTGTATCTTGTGACTTGTGACGTATTGTGTGAAAGGGGATATGACGCATTATATGTGTATTTTGTGTAGTGTGGTCTTGTGAGTAATGGCAGTTGAGATTTAGTTAATAAAGATACTGTATTTTAATATTACTAATCAATGGTTTGTGACGTGAATATAATTAACCCCTAGACACGCTCGGTTGGATTGGTGACACGTGATGGAAATGGACGTGTGATCAGTCATCCTTGCATGAAATTCGATTAGACCGGAGCAGTGTGTGTGCTCTGTAAATATGCAATTTTTCAATTGGTGTCACCCCCAGGGATGGTGACACCTGTTGCAGTCTGCACCCCCCTTGCTACGCCACTGATTTAAATTAAGAATTTAATGGGCTCAAACAAATAGTGGACATTTCATCAATTATTATTACATCGAAAGCCTTTGTGTCTTATTTAAATGTTCTAATTTTGCAACAAAGTCTCCTAAATAACAACATTTTAAAAGAAAATACTAAGTCTATATTTATTGAATTCCCAATTCCTTTTGTCTTTTTAATATCAGAAAAAGAAACAAATTACCCAACCAATGTGCAAGCATTAAAATAATAATAATTTCTAAATGAGAATCTA